CCAGAAGAAGAGGAAAATGAGCAAGGAATAGAAAACCTGTTAGAAAAAATAATGACAGAAAACTTCTCTGATATAGGGAAGAAAAAATCCACACAAATCTGAGAAGCTCACAGAGTCCCAAGCAAAATGAACCCCAAATGACTGACACCAAGGCACATTATAATTAAATTGGCAAACAACAATGACAAAGAATCTTAAAAGTGACCAGAGAGAGACAGAAAGTTACATACAAAGGAACCCCCATAAGACTAGCAACTGATTTCTCAACAGAAACTCATTAGGCCAGAAGGGAATGCAATGAAATATACAAAGTCATCCAAAGAAAGGGTCTTAATCCAAGAATAATGTACCCAGCAAGGCTTTCAATCAAAATTGAAGGTGAAATCAGAAGCTTCACAGACAAAAACAGACTAAGGGAATTTATCTCCACCAAACCAGCAAAGCAAGAAATGCTAAAGGATTTATTGTAAATATATATACATATATATGAAGCAAAGAAGGAATACAGGGGTAAAGAATAAAAATGGCAACAAATAAGTACCTATCGATAATATATTTCAATGTAAATGGATTAAATGCCCCAATCAAAAGACACAGGGTAACGGATTGGATAAGAAAAAAAGACCCATATGTCTACTGAAGATGGGCGCCAGGTACCCATCTGCTGAAGATGTGCGCCTGGCACCCTCGTTGAGCCTCACCTCTTTCTCCTTCATGTCTCCAAACAGAGTGTCCACGGCAGTGTCATTCAAGGTGAGATCACTTTTCTCCATTATCTGGACAATTTCACTTGAGGTTAACATGCAGTCAGCACACTGGGAACTATGTAAAGCTGTGGGAACATCTTCTCAAGGGGTCTCCAGTTTCTTGTGACAACATGGGGCCACAATGAGGTGGAAATCTTCTCTGGGGACAGGTTCTGCCATCTGGTGAAGTAATCCTTCACCAGAGCCCTAGATAGGCTGGCAAGACTTGGCCATGCAGAGGTAGGGTGATGCATGACCCAGCACATGCTCTGCATAATGATCCTTGCCAGGGCAGGCAGAGGTCAACATGGGTATCCTGGGTTCTTCCTCATAGTGCTGGCAGTACCGACACACAAATTCCTTCTAACTCTCCAGGATGCTGAAATCTGCAGCTATCTTCATGTCAAAGACAGTGTGCCTCAGAGCTTTTGAGAAAGCCGCAGAGCATTCTGGATGCATCAGTAACACTAAGGCTGAATTTAGCAGCAAAATATTGCAGCAGAGGGTAAGAACACAGGGACACTGCCAGCACCTTTTACTTTGAGATATCACATTTCTTATTAAGGTTCAGATTATGGAAGAAGTCCTTGGTGTTCTGTTGAGAAACCTTGATTCCTTTCTCTGTGGTCATACAACTGTCATATGCCAGGCAGTCACTCAGAAAGATCTTGGTATCAGCCAACTTATGAAATTTTCTCTTCTCTCCATTCTTCTGAGCCAGACTCTGGACGTTGACTGTGGCATTCTCTTGGTTATTGGTTTTTGCTTTTACTACATTCCTTTAGTGTGCAATTATCACACTTCATCTGGAGAGGGGTGGGTGGGGGCCAGCTCAAATGACCTGAAGGAAAAACAGGGATAGCAGTCCATCACTGCTGGTCACCCCTCATATCATTGACAGGTAAACACATAAAAACAAATTGTTTTATATTCATACAATGAGACACTATTTAGCAATAAAATGGAACAAGCTATTGAACAGAAAGGGAAGCTCAGTAAATAAATAAATGCAACCACTTGAATGAATCTCACAAATTCTAGTATATTAATTAAAGGAAGTAAGACACATAGAAATGTATAATGGATGTGTCAATTTATGCAAAATCAAGACAAAAGCTGACCTATGGTGGCAGAAATAAGAATAATGAACTCTTCAGGGTGGGCATGGTTATTTGAAGGATGAAATAATATTTTGGAGTGAAGGAAATTTTTAATATCTTCATTGTGGTGGCAGTGGCTTCATGGGTGCCCATACTTGTTAAAACTTGTCAAATTGTAAATAAATAAATGTATTTGGATGCAAATTATATGTCGATAAATTTAATGAAATGATATTTAATGATATTATATGTCTGGATAAGAGAAAAGTTGCTTTCAGAGAGCTTGGGAAAATTTTGTCAGCTATTGATACAATTAAATGCATGTTTTCAAAATACATAAAAATTTTTCTAAAGTTTCTGCTTCAATGTACAGTGGCATGTTACTATATTCTTGTTGTTGTTACTATTTTATTTATTTTTTTAATTTAAATTATTTATTGTTTCAAATATTGTATGTTACTCTATTGATGAGCTTCATATATCAATTATTAACTATGTAAGTTTATTATTGATGTAAGTAGTATTCTTTAGGGGTGTCGAACTCAATCAGAGAAGGGGCCAAAATCTAAAATCCAGCCTAAATCGCGGGCCGAATGGTTTACTGAACAGTCATAAACTGTCAATGTGATGGAAACGCAGCAGAGTGTAGTGATGACAGTGCGGTGCGGGCCACATTGCAAGGCCTGGCAGGACGGATTTGGCCAGCGGGCCTTGTGTTTGACACATGTGCTTTAGATTGTATTTACTTGATTTGAGCTACTTTACATGTCCATTTTACAAGGTAATTCTAGAAAGCAAAATCCTATCTAATAAAAGAGTAATATGCAAATTAACCGTCACTCCACTACACCCACAAGCCATGCCCATCAGCCACGCCCACCAACCAACCAGAGCAAGTATGCAAATTAACCCAACTAAGATGGCTGCGGCCACAGAGAAAGCAAGAGGGAGACTTGTGTTTCCCAGGTGATGGAGGAAGACAAGCTTTCCACATGTCCTGGCTGGCCCAGGCCTCTGCTTAAGGCTACACAATTTCAATTATAGAAGGTAAATAAATCCCCTGCCACCACAGAGCGAGCAGAAGGCTTGGCTCTGCTACAGGCTACAAAGTTTCATTTGTAGAAGATAAATAAACCCCAGATATCAGAGCCTCCACTTGGGTCGCTGAGGGGTGTGGCAGGCCTGTAAACCACCATAGGCCCCTCACCCTAGCCACCCCACACCCCAAGGAAACTCCCACCCTGATCCAGCTGGCCCCCACCCATGCACCAGGCCTCTATCCTATCTAATAAAAGAGTATATGCAGATTGACTATCACTCCAATACACAAGATGGCTGCCCCTATGATGGCTGCCCCTGCCCTACCCCCATGTGGACATAAGATAGCCACCACAAGATGGCCAGCAGAGGAGGATAGTTGGGAGGGACCAGGCCTGCAAGGGAGCGCAGTTGTGGGTGATCAGGCCAGCAGGGGAGGGCATTTTGGAGGACCAGGTGTGCAAAGGAGAGCAGTAAGGGCAATCAAGCCTGCAGGGGAAGGCAGTTAGAAGTGACTAGGCTGGTAGAGGAGGGAAGTTGTGGGCAAACAGGCTGGCAGGGGAGCAGTTAGACATCAATTAGGCTGGCATGGGAATGGTTAGGGGCTGATCAGGCTGGCAGGCAAAAGCAGTTAGGGGCAATAAAGAAGGCTTCAGGTGAGCAGTTGGGAGCCAGCAGTCCTGGATTGTGAGAGGGATCCCAGATTGGAGAGGGTGCAGGCTGGGCTGAGGGACACCCCTCCCCCATGCACAAATTTCTTGCACCAGGCCTCAAATAACTGTATAAATCATAACACACTACATCTATGAGGGGGGAAAAACCCTTAAGAAATAAGGTAAAAATATATTTTAAAATTCACATTAATGATAAACTCCTGCTGTCTAAAATATAAAAACCCTACTATAAATCTATATAAAAAATAAATCATTCAAAAGCAGTTAACATTTTCTGGGCAATAAAATATAAAAGAACCCCTCAAATATTTTAAATAATGCTCTGCATCACTGGTAATTGCTAAAATACCAGTTAAACTAAAATGTGATAGTGTTTCAAACTAATAGATTGCTAAGTATTAAAAAGTCAGTAAAAAACAAGTGTTGCTAAGGATGTGAAGCAAATAAACTTTCCTCTAGTGCTAGTTGGAGTAAAATTGATACAACCATTTTGAAAAATGATTTTGTATTACCATTAAATTTTAGCATGTGGAGTGTCCATAGCCTAGCAAACTCATTCCTAAGTGCATAGTTAAGGAAACTCTTGAGTGAGTGCATGTCCAAGTAGTGTTTGCAGTATCAAAAAACTAGAAACCACTCAAATGTCCAACAAAGGTAGAATGTGGTATTTTCATACAAATAACTAGGTTAGCATAGTGGCTACTATACTCTCTAGCCACACTATGTGGATCTCAGCTTCTTAGTTTGATGTAGTCCTATCTGTTTATATATTTTCTTGTTTCCCTTCCTCTCAGAGATACATCTGCAAAAATATTGCCACGAGAAATGTCTGAGATTTTACTCTACATTTTCTTCTAATATTTTTATGGTTTTGCAACTTACATTTAAGTCTTTAATTCATTTTTAATTTATTCTTATATATTGTGTAAGGAGGTGATCCAGTTTCATTTTTTTGCATGTATCTGTCAAATTTTCCCAGCACCATTTATTGAAGAGACTGTCTTTACCCCATTGTATGCTTTTGCTTCTCTGTCAAATATCAATTGAGCATACTTGCTTGGGTTAATTTCTGGGTTCTCTATTCTGTTCCATTGATCTATATGTCTGTTTTTATGCAAGTACTATGCTGTTTTGATTTACTATGGCCTTATAATATCATGCTACTTGATATCAGGTAGCATGATTCCTCCAACTTTGTTCTTTTTCAAAATTGCTGAGGCTATTTGGGATCTTTCATGGTTCCATATAGATTTTTGCAATATTTGTTTCTGTCTTTCCCTATCTACTCCACTCTCTCTAAAAAAAAAAAAACAATGGAAAAAATATCCTAGGGTAAGGATTAACAAATAAATAAATAAATAAAAAGGTAGTTGATTCTTACAGTTGCTTGGAACTGCCCTTCAAGTAGAAAATTAGGGAGTGTGAAGACTTATAAAAATTATTTCAGCTCTTTCCGCCATTGGTCTGTGCCGCCACAATGGTGCGTATGAATGTCCTGGCTGATGCTCTGAAGAGTATCAACAATGCCGAAAAGAGAGGCAAATGCCAGGTTCTCATTAGGCTCCAAAGTCATCGTCCAGTTTCTGACTGTGATGATGAAGCATGGTTACATTGGCAAATGTGAAATTATTGATGACCACAGAGCTGGAAAAACAGTTGTGAACAAGTGTGGAGTAATCAGCCCCAGATTTGATGTGCAACTCAAAGATCTAGAAAAATGGCAGAACAACTTGCTTCCTGTCAGTTTGGTTTCATTGTACTGACAACCTCAGTGGGCATCATGGACCATGAAGAAGCAAGACAAAAACACACAGGAGGGAAAATCCTGGCATCATTTTTCAAGGGATGTAATACATATGTGGAAATAAAATGCCTCACAGGGAAAAAAAGTATTGCAATATTTGGATTTCTGTTGTTTGAACTCTGAGGCTACTTAGAGTATAATTCTGCAGAATGAACAGTCTCTCTGTCCTGCTGGCTTTCTTCTGATAAGTAACCCAAAATCTTTTGTTCTACAAGCCTGGACCAGAACTAGGATGCTTACAAATTCCTACTTAAGTTACCTATTGTTCTCATCTCATATACCCACTTGCTTGACCACAGATGAAAGTTCAGTTGCCCCTACAATCAGAAAAGGAATGATGTGTGTGGTCTTCCTTCCCTTAGCTACCCATCTCTTTGATCATCAGTTCCTTGTACTTTTGCCTTTAAAATCATTGTTCTATCACCTTACTTTGGAACATATCTTCCATTCATACTTAGGGCTACATCCCTGATTTTTAAAGTCACACATGAATAAAACTCTATTTTAATATATTTTGAATTTTTTTGCTAAAAAGAGAATCATTTGATTTGTCTTTAAATGAAATCAGATAAAGTAGGATGTATCTGTAGAAAAAGAGGTATGAAAACAGATATGGTATGGTAGCTTTCTAGAGTAGTAATAACATATTGCCAAATATATTTTTATATACCATAAATTATCCCAAAGGCATATAATATATTAATATAATGTATAAATTATTTTTCAAAATTTCAACATGTATATGTACATATATTTGTGTGTGTGTAGGAGGGGAGAGAGAGAGAGAGAGAGAGAGAGAGAGAGAGAGAGAGAGAGAGAGAGAGAGAGAGAGAAAGAGAAATAGAAAGAGAGAGAGAGAATGTGAAGGCACATATCCTTCATGTTCCCAGTCGATTTAATTTAAAATGCATGGAATACTCTAATTTCAAGTTACCTGTTCCTTATCTTTCAGCAGATTCTACCACATCTTAGTTTAGAAAAATGTGTACTTCAGACTCAAGAAATTAAGGTTGTTTTTTTTAAGAGGTTAGCTGTAAAATGATTATTTCTAATTTAGCAAAAGATAGTAATTATTACTGAGTGTGTTATTTGTTTAAGTGTATGTGTTATAATTGAGGAACCACATATGAACATATGAACCAAAATGTTAGCAATACTAACAATCATAAAGAGATAATTAGATACTACTTCCTCCTCAACCAATAAATTACTAGTGGTTGCTATAAATGGCTAAGTTTTGTTTTCTTTAGTATTAAAATTATCTTCTTCATTGATAAAGGCAAGGGGTTGTTTCATGTGGTTAATCAAGAGATGTGTAGGAGTAGGCTCTAATTACACTTCTTAGATTACTAGAAATTTTAGAAAAATTGCAGTAGCAAGTAATAGCTTTTTTCTCCTATACTTTTATATAATCATTTTATGAGCATTGCATCCATCAAGCTAGCTAATGGTGTGCCATAATAATCAGCAAACTCCTTTTTGCCAGTTTTCCAGGTTCAAAATCTGAGTCATTTCTGACACTTCCTTCATTATCACAATCAACGAAATCACTGAGTCCTATTTTTACTTTCCTAGTAATATACTTCATAGCTGTTCTTCTTGTTCAATTGTTAGGGAAATTCACCCACTCTGATGCTTAATGCATCATGTCTGTAATACCATAGATATATCATACCTTTCCATATTATCACTGTCCTCACCTACTGTCTTCTTGTACACTGTTACTACTAATAGTAGTCCTAAATATTGCTAATAATATAAATATTGGTAATAGTCCTAAAATATTACTTTTTGATGTTAATTGTTTGGTCATTAGTATATGATGGTTCATCATTCTATAGAGTTTAAACTCATTAACCTGGTGGGAAACCTTCCAATCTGATCTGTTTCACCAGTTTAGTCCACTCATTACTTCCCTCATGCATGGCATGGAGTACATGTTGCTGCAGGGTAGGGGCAGTGTAGTTCTCTTAAATTTTAATGTTTTAAGATTCAATCTTGGTGTCTTTTCGTAATTCAGTATAGGTAATGGTCACATGGTATATTCCTAGGTTCCATCCATAGAGATTCTGATTCTGTAGGTGTATATGTGGGACTTGGTGTCTGCAGTTTTAGGAACCACCTTAGTGTATTCTGATGAACACCAGAAGAAATGTTTTTCTGTCCATTTGCTAACCCTACTTATCCTCCAAAGAAATATATTTAATTTTTAAATTATGAAGCTTTCAGAATTACTCTAGTTAGATGAAAATCTATCTGTAACATTCATTAATTCAGCTCTTAGAAATGATTACTATCTATTTTTAAATAGCTTTCTCACTCCTTTCTATTTACTAATCTGCTTATTTTCCTCCTAGCACTTATCACTGATACAGTATATTTTTAGTCTACTTTCTTATTATTTTCACCATTTGAAAATCAGCTTAATAAAGGTGGAAACATTGTTGTTCACTCCTACAGTATTATAAGAGCCTAGAACATCATAAAATAAACAATAAATATAATTGAACAAATAAATTTGACAGTATATAGGCCATCTATTGTTAATTGTCTTTTTATGACTATTCTTGATGATTTAACAATATAATATTTTTTAGGAGAGGGTGCCCTTCATATTTATTTCTATTTTACTTTATAGCACCCAACCCAATGATTTGCATGGTAAAAACACAACACAGATTTATTAATATGTTGTATTGATATGAATCTGAAAAAGGAATTAACTGATAACTGATTTACAATTCATTCTTTAGTAACAATGTAAAATGCAGAATAATGTCCACCACACAAAAATATCTATTACCAATATTTATATTATTAGCAATATTTAGGACTACTATTAATAGTAACAGTGTACAAGAAGACAGTAGGTGAGGACAGTGATAATATGGAAAGGTATGATATATCCATGGTATTACAGACATGATGCATTAAGCATCAGAGTGGGTGAATTTCCCTAACAATTGAACAAGAAGAACAGCTATGAAGTATATTACTAGGAAAGTAAAAATAGGACTCAGTGATTTCGTTGATTGTGATAATGTCCTAATCCCCAGAATCTGTTAATATGTTACTTTGCATGACAAAAGGGATTTTACATATGTGGTTAAGAATAAAGACTGTCAGATGGGAAATTATTCCAGATTATCCAGGTAGGTCTAATCGCAAGAGTTCTTAAAAGCAGAGAACTGTCCTAGCCAGACTGGCTCAGTGGTTAAAACGTTGGTTCATGGACTGAAGGGTCTTAGGTTTGATTCTGGTCAAGGGCACATACCTCAGTTGCAGGCTAGATCTCCGGGCCCCATTTGGGTCACATGCGGAAGGCAAACAATTGATGTGTCATTCTCACATTGATGTTTCTCGTCCTCCCCTTCCACTCTTTCTGTGAATCAAGTTTGCTGTTTTTGGCTTTGAAGGTGGAAAAGGAAGGTCATAAGCCAAGGGTTGTGGGTGGCTTCTAAAGGTAAAGAATAGGATTCTGCCCTAGAAACTTCAAGAAGGAATATAGCTCTGCTGGTGCCTTGATTTTAGCTCAGTGAGTTTCATGTTGGACTTATGACCTACAGAGTTATAAGACAATGAATGCACTTGTATTGTTTGAAGCCACTAAATTTCTTATAATTTGTTATGATAGTGATATAAAATGAATATCAACAATTACAGCAACAAAAAGAGCAGTTTAACCTTATCCTATTCTCAATATGAGAAATGAAGCAGATTTCTGCAGGCTGATGAATTTTCCATATATATACTCACTTATAAGATACTTTTGAATATAAGGAATGTTCCTTTTTTCTCAGGAGAAAAATATTTTAGAAAAGGCTCTGTGGCTACTGTGAATATAGAAAATTATGTAAATAAAAGTTAAGCAAATATCTACTTATAATTATTACTTTGAAAGTATTACTAAATTACACAAATACATGTAAAATGGCATACAGGCAGTCCTTGGGTTACATCGTAGATCAGCTCCTAACCCACCTACATAAGCACCTACATCACTCACATGGAGCACATATACAGCAGTAATGAAGTGATACAGTAAAAAAAAAATTAAAAGAAATATAATTCCTGACCTTTATTAGTGATAAATAAATAATAAAAAACATAAAACACATATGTACATACATCAAAATGATAGAACTTTTTTTTTTAATAAATGCTGTAAATGAGAGATGGTGACTTAACCACAAAACAACGTAAGTTGATTCCGAGGTAACCCGAGGACTACTTTTATTTAAAAATGCTGTATTCTCCCTCTTAGATGTTTTATGAGACAATTTCTTTAAATTCTACTGGCAAGTTTAATATCAGTTGTTAACATCGCTAAAGTTTCTTCTTGAGAGACTTAACACAGCCTTTCATGTAAGATAATTTAGAGAAAACACTTTTTAAATCTACATATGATGTTGCCACTTGAAATGTATCTTGTCATAAGTATGTATATATTATTAATCATTTCTGTCATACAACCACTTATATGTTTGCTATTAAATTATTCTTTAAAAGACTTTATAATGGCATCTCAAACCTGCAATTTTGAAGTCATTTCCCCTCTCCCCAGAAAATCATTTTAAATTTAGCATTAATTTTTTTGTCATCTTCTTTTTTATTACCAATTATGACTGGTAATTTCTATTAATATCCAAAATTAGCATTAATTGGGGTTATTATTTTAGATTAATATATCTTCCCCAAGTAGTTATTCAAAATAAAGTAATTGATAAGTATCCTGTACTATGCGAGATAATTTCTAAGGATATCTCCTTTGAGATAACATTTAGAGCTAAAAATTTAGCTTATATTCAGGAAAATAAATGGTCTCATTCCCTTTACTTGGTTTCCTCCCCTTTTTATGAATTCTTTTTTATATTAATACAGATATTTCAATAATATTCTACTTACTATCCCAGTTAATTGTTATATGCAATTACTTACAGTCCCCTATTAATAAACCTTTAAACTGATTCCAATTTTTAATAATTAAAATTATAATGTATTAAACATTATATATGTCAATATATACTTGTGTGAGAATTTCTATATTATAAATCTCTAGAGGTAGAACTGACAGGTA